AGTTGGGAGCACGGAGCGGCGTGCCAGGGAGGATAGTTCACTGAAATGTGCGTGATTGCCCTCATTATTATACTTTTTTAGTTTGGGTTTCTTTTGAGGGAAAGCGACCAACTTTGCCTTTTTGAGCGTTTTCCTTTCAGAGCCACCTGGTTTGAATTAAAGGCTCTTCCAGCACCCGAGAGTCTCCTGGCGGAGGCTGGAAATCCACATGAAAAGTCCCTGGCCCCCAGCCAGCGAGCTGAGTTTCTTTGACACATGAATCGCTCACCAGCCCTTGCCTCCCCTCCCTGCTCCAAGAGCCCAAAGACCTTTGGGAAAACAGTGGTTTTTTCCTCTTTTGATAGAGCTAGAGATCAAATTTACTGGATTTTCCTGGAAAGAAGCAGGGGACCCTCCCAGCCGGGCTGTTTACCTGGCATGGGTTTGGTGTGCCCCAAGAAGGGTCAAACCCTTGGTGGACTTTGCTTATGGACCATCACTGGCCCCGTAGGGTGATGGCACAGACTTCTGCCAGGCAGCTTGGAGAACCAAAACAGTGGCCCAATAAAACTGGTAAGGAGGTGCCAGGTCTCCCAGTGCATCTTTGACCTGGGAAACTCATTGCCACGGGGCGCTGCAGAGGCCAAAAGATGTAGCAAGGCTCAAGACCCAGACTGGAGGCAGAGATGGAGGGCAGAAAAGCCAAGAGCTGTAGCTGTCCCTGTCAGCCCATCTTCTGCAGGAGGCCACAAGCTTGTGCTTTCCAGCTGCACCAGCTGCTGGCTCCTTGGGTTAGGAGAGGGCTCAAAGTTTCCTCCTGAAGTGTCTGAGCAACGTTAGGGGCTGCAGCGATGGGACATTGGACAAGGTGGGACCCTGGGTCCGATTGGCTCTGGTAGGGTCATAAACATCAGCAGCATAGCCAAGGGCTGAAGCCTGCTAAAGCCACCCTGTGTATTCTTTATTTCTTCTTCTTTATTATTTCTTGCGCTAGAATTAAGTGTGATATAGAACCAGACCTAAGCACGGCCAGACATCCCACCGGGGGAGGCTCGGGGGGGCATGGTGGTGGGTGCTGGGTGCTGGGCTGCTTCCAGCTCTCCTGCCCTGGGGTGCTGCCGTGTTCCCCTCCCAGCCGGGTCCTGGCCTTGCCTGTTGAGCTTTCAAAGTCTTTGGAGCTCGACTTATCCTTGATGTGCTTCTATGGAGACCCCACCGTGATGGGACCTCGGTCTAGAGGGACATCAGCAGAGACCATCCTAATTTCTATGCCGAAATAGAGCTGTGCTTTGCTTAAGTAAGCATCAAATCTCCTGCCTACCTACTGCGCCTGGACAGGCGTTTGGGTCTGTGAGAGCTGCCTCCTTCCGCACGTACAGCGGCACCGCCCTCCTCTCTGATGCAGCCGCCTTCCCGCATCCCCGATGTGCGGAGGCATTTATTTGGTGCAGAGGTTTTGCAGCCTGGCAGCTTGACCGCTCCTGTGACTCCTGCCAGGTCGGCTTTGCCTCTCGCTAAATGATGGGTCTTTCCTTCGTCTGCATTGAACTCTTCCCATCTGGGCCCCGTCAAAACCAATTCAGCTGACAAAGGATCGAACTGAACTGAAATACAAAGCGGAGCCTCTCCTCCCCCAGCACCCGCTTTCTCTGCTCCGTTTTGTGCCCTTGTGCTCTCCTCCAGCCCTTGCCCATCCATCCCGGAGTGCTGCATCCTGCTCGGAGCATCGCTGCCGTCCTGGAGGGTCCCTCAGCCGTCCCTGCCAGCGCCAAGTGCCGGGGAAAGCCAAAGGGGCTGCAGGAATGGGCCACTGCTGTAGCAGAGGGAAAAATAAGGGACCCAAGCCCATCACTAGACTCAAGACATAGGTAAAAAACACTGTAAGGATAAAAGAAAAAAGCACTCCAGGGTCAAATCCCAACCAGACGGAGGGAGATTCCTCCGGTAGCCCCTGAGTGCAGCTCTGTGGTTCCCACATGGGGCAAATTACCCCAACGAGCATCCAGACCGTGGTGCTAACAGCAGAGTGCAGGAGCAAGGGATGAGCCAAGCTCAGCGTGAAGGCGTCTTGCATCTGAGCAGGTACGTGGTGTTGGGAAAGGGACCAGAGCTGAGCTGTGGCCCTGGAGGAGAACGTGTGCCAGGGCAATCCAAAATCCCTACTATATTTGCTAGAGACCCGATAAAGTGCATCACATTTTTATGGAGGTCTTGCCTAAGGGCTTCAGCCACGTTCCCCAGTGAAATGACAGGGGAAGAGACCCCCAGACTGACATTTCCATGTGGCCCTGGTGACTACAACGAAGCAGCTCTGCTTCTGCCTTCCCACTTTTTCCTCCCCTTTTTTGTGCAAGACATGGGAGGGGGGAAGCAGCAGGACAGCGTGGGCTCCCCAGCACCTGGCAGGTCCCTGGGGTCCTGCTGTCCTGCTTTCCCTGTCGCTTCCCTTCCCGTGGGCTGCAGAAAGTGATGGCAGGGGGAGAGGGGAAGCAGCAAACCATGTCATGCGGGAAGGCATGTCATGCCGGGGGGCACGTGGGATGTGCTGCGTGATGGGGCTGTACGATCCCACAGGCACACCATCCATAGAAACCCTTCCCAGCCACCACCAGTCTAGGAGAGCCTTCCAAAAAAATCCCCCCAAACTAGTAGTATTTCATCCTCCCCGTTCCTTGAGAAGTTTCTGGACCTGACAGAAGTTACCGTTGCAGAGAAACCTTTTTGTGCGTGTTTGCCCCAATTCTGCTGCTTGCAGAGGGCTGGGAGAGCCGCTCGGGTGCTGTGCTGGCTCCTGCCACGCTGCCAGCCACCTTCGTGGCATGCCATTAAGTACTTCTCAGCTCTGTTAAACTGTCCAGACCAATCTCATGAGCTCACGGAGAGTAAATGACTTCTTTGTGACAATGTAATGCAATTAGCACTAATTGTAGAGTGTGTAATGTCTGCAACACATCTCTGTAATTACAGTAAAACTTGCTGGAGATGAGAATAGTGCTGTATTATCAAAACTCAGCTTAGTGAAACACGGCTTTGGTTGTAGGTTACGGAGTTGCATGGGGAAAAGGGAGGGAAAAAAAGTGATGAATGGCATAATTATGTTGTGTTATTTTAAAGGAGAGGATTTGGGGAGTTCACTTTTAAGAGAACACTTGAAGGTTAACAGGCGTTGCAAGCCAGCTCTCGCCCTCTAAAGATGATTCAATATGATTTCGACCTCTCCCAGCGTAAGAGGCAGATGTATTGAGGATGAACGCTTGTTTACATCCAACAATACGCAGAAGCATTTACAGTTTAGTGCTGACCGAGGCTCAGGCTGGTGAACCGGAGCCGTGGGATGGAGATATGCCCTGACTTGCCGTCGACCCGGCTGCTCCAGGACCCTGCACCCACTCTGCCTCCCGCTCCTCCGGGCAGGGCGCAGGGACCTCTTCTCCCATCAGTCTGTGGGAAGAGGGTAGCCACAGATTTACCCTCCTGAGATCTACCTGCTCCTCAGCTGGAGCCATCCCCATCCCCAGCCACTTTGCTGCAGTCCCACCGGCTTGCAGGACATCAGCTTGTTTTGACTTTGGTCAGATAAAGCCTTCCCTGAACCTCCGCATCCCTGTGGATTGAATTGTGCTTTAAACCATCCTCATCAAAAAAAACCCAAAAGAACAACAAACCCCAATGGTTAATTGTTTTCCCAGGAGATAGGCTTTAAATCGGGGGATAATTTGGTGCTGGAAGAGCTTACAGGGTTCCTCTCTGCCTTCTCTAGACACAGGGTCGAGCCGGGCTCCGGATCCGTGTCTGCGTTTCTGCTCCCCCCCCCCCGTTTGGGTGGTGCGGGTCTGTTGTTACTCCGGGCTCAGTCAGTTGTTTGGCCAAGTCTGCCGAGTCCTGGTTGTGCTTTGCTCCTTGTAACGGTAATGGGCCTCTTAAAAGACTTTGTAGGAAAGTTAAACACTTCTGGAATATTTTGCTTACAATTTGAGATGAGCTGGGGCTGGAGGTGGTTGGCAGGCTGCTTTCCTTAGAAACAGAGACACCGTTTCTTTTTCTCTTTACTTCCTGAACACTTCTGATGTTTGTTATCATTTTTTCTTCCTCTGTTGAAGGCTGTATTAAAGAATTAGCTCAGCTGAAGCCTTCATAAACAACCCTTAAGGATGTCTTGCTCCCTCCTGGTTTTGAGTGCTGAATTTCAGGATGAAATACGCTGCAGGGAGCCTTGCTGTGTGCATAGGTAACAGGAGAGAAAGGGATGCTGCAGTCCCCCACTCCATCCCCGCTCCATCTAAACCTGGATGGTTTCTGAAAAGCTCTTTAGCTCAGAAATCGGGGTGAGGGCGATGCTGGCAGACTGGTCTCCGCGGGGAGCGGTGATCCCGTGGCTGCGGCAGCCGGAGCCTGGTTCCTGCTGGGTGCTTTGGGTGAAGCTCCCAGCACGTGGCCTTCACCTCAGGGCGCCGGTTCGCTTCACAAGCAAGCAGGGCTCTTCTGAAGGGCATTTTAGCTGCACCAGGCTGATCAAGGGGCTGTTTCAACTCCCCGGTTCAGACATGGAGAAGAAAGTGCTGGTGTGGGGCTGCCCACGGGAGCCCCTGCTGCAGCCTCCCGCTGTGACTGTGGGCAAAAGCTGTTCTTTCCCCATGTATTAGTCCCTTCATCCCTTAGAAAAACCCAACAACAGAGCGATAGGGATGAATGTTGCTTTTTCATCCCCTCTGTCTGTATCGATCCCTCTCGCAGCGAGGAGCAGCACCTTGGAGATGTGGCTGCGCGGTGCCCTCTGCGCTGCCCGGGCACCGGGAGTGCCGTGGGGTAATTGCCCGTGTAAGTGGCCGATTTGCACACGCAATTACCCAATGTGCAATCACAGCCACAGCCCCTTTGAGCTGCACTGAAAGCTGCACCAAACCCTCTCCCAGGAGCCTGCCCCTCTCCCGGACTTTCCAGGATGGATACGAGTGTCCTGGAAGCTGGGAGCCTCCTCCCAGGGCCCCACTGCCTCCTGGCTAATCCTGAATTAAGTGCTCTTTGCTCTGAGCAGATGTGGCAGAACCACATCAAGCCGTTGCTCATGATCGCAAACCTCCGGGGATTCAAAATCTGGGGTCGAGCTTTGCAGTTTGCTGCTTTAAGTGACTTTTGGGAGGATGAAGAGCAGCCGAGACCCAGGGAGCGGTGAAGCCCAATGGCTGCGGATGCTCTCCACTCCATGCCGCCTTACTGCCGCCTTCGAAGCAGAGCATCCCGAGCAAGCCACGTCCCTGACTCACAGAAAACTGCTGGGTAAAAGAAACCCCTCAGCACCCTCCCTCGCATCCGAGCTGACTCAAACCCACCTGTGAAAGGTCTTGGGGTTTTTAAGTTTTAGGACTTTTTAAAAGATAATTCTTTAGTTTCTTTTAGCTCTTCAGCTGAACTTGCTGCTGCTTCAGAAGCCTCATTAGTCAAGTGTCCTGGCTGGGACACACAGTGTGGCTGGATCCAGCAGGCTACAGGGCTCACGCTCCTTCCAGTGCTATTCTTTTGATTCCATTCAGCTTGATTAAAAGGAGTATTTCTAAAATTAAGCAACACCCACGAATGCGGTGAGACTTGCAAGGCTTAAAAAGCAGCTCCTGAGCAAAAGCGGAGCACAGCAAAGCTGGCGAGGGCCGGGAGGAAATTTCATTCCAGCTTTCTGAAGATACAACGCTGCCTAAATAATTTCCCCTTGTCTTTTCCAACACCAATGGCTTACTATCATCCACTGATTACTGCGCTTTGTAGATAAAGGGTGCCTATATTCCCAGTTTTGGAAACCTTTTAACGCTGAATAAATCTGAGCCTATCTCTTGCCGGCAGCGAGCGGCGGCTCTGTGCCTCTGTGGGCAGAGGGGTGGGCAGCCCCCGGGGATGCTGCCCTGCCTGCAGGCGTTGCTGCTTTGCTACGGGTTCCTTGCGTGACCTTGGTCACATCCCCTTGCTGTACAGCATCCCCAGCGCCCAGCTGGCAAAGACAGCATTCAAACTTTCCTCGGAAAGCACCCTCGGCACAAACTCCACGACTCAGCTGGGTCTCTGCACCATCTTCTGCTTCCTGAGCAGGAGTGATCCCGGGAATGGGAGCAGAGCCAGGGCTGAGAGCAGGGTGGGTCGGAGAGGCGATGCTGGGTGGGTGTGGGAAGGGCTTTGCTAACATTTCTGTGCTCTGTTAGAGGCTCACTGGGTGATAAGAGCCCCTTCAACCCCTCCTGTGATGTTCTTGAGCATCACTTCTGCAAGCCCTTCGCTGCAGGCAGGGATGCTGCCTGACACTGCGCTTACAAGATCCTTCCCAATGCTTTGGGTTTTACATGACAGAAAGCCCAGCGTGCTCTGAGTCTTGCTATCTCCAGGCAGAACAGGAATAAATTTCAGCTGCCCAGTCCATGCTGAGCCATCCCTTGTGTCTGTCTGCTGAGTCCCAGGAGTTTTCCTTCTCGGAGGAGTGTTTGCCAAAGGTTTGCATCAGCTCTCTCTCTGCATCCCACCACCAGCCCGTTGTACGTCTGGCTTTGCAGATGCTCTGCTTTTATTCTTAGAAAGGCCTAAAAATTTCCGCTTTCCTTCTGAATAACTCCAGCGATCGGGGGTTGCTGATCACTCATCAGAGTCTCAGTATTTGCTATGAATCCATGCTACGTAATGCCGAGTATTTTTCTGAACCTTTAACTTGGCTGGGCAGCCGGGTCCGTGGCAGAGGCGCTGACAGGCATCGTGCTTTCCTGTTTGAGCAGAAATGGCATTTGAGTTGAAGCTTCATCAGGGGCTTTTTACACTGCAGACTTTCAGTGCGTGAATGTTATATACGCTGGTAAATGCACCTGTCACCTCACCAGCTGGTGACATCCTGACATTCGCTCTCCCTGGGAGCCTTCCCTTGCCAGGGACATGGATTGATTCCTCCCGTGCATCCCTTTGCCTTGGGAAGTCACCTTCGAGCTGGGAAGTGGTGGGATTCTTGTTGGACTTGCTCTTTAGTGACTGATTTTTATCACTTTTTTTTTTTTCCCACGATACTGGCTTCTCTCAAGGCTCTTGAGCCGTTAGTTATCAGCAACGCATGGATCCTGTAGTCTAGGTCTGGGGCTGAGCTTGCGGTGCTGTAACGCCGGCACTGGCGGTGGTGTCCGGCAGCGGAGGTAGGAGAGCACCTACTTGCTCTTGGTCTTGGTGTTCAAGTGTTTGCTCAAGCTACTGGGTTGTTGTTTGGTTGAGTTTTTAAATTTGACATTATAATTGCTCTTTAACATTTTAAATCCAAAGATAATGTTGTAAAATGCATTTTCAGGTTACAAGCACACGCATCTCTGGAAGTGAGTCTAGAGCTGTCATTAATCAGAAAATTATTTGTCTTGGTGCAAACAGCCATATGCTGCTCTGAATTTTGCTGGTAGACTCTGTTTTAATAATAGATAAAAGAAAAGCTGTATGTTTGACATGGGCTTTTTACTTGAACCCTGCAAACCATACAGAAATCGTCTTTTCAAACAGCAGATGAAACTTGAGGACCATTAAAGCTCAGGGAAATTGTTGCCCCTCTCCTTACCGTAGCCAAAGCTCACCCAATGCAGCGAGTCCTGCGCACCGAGGACGGGGCTGGTTTTGTCGCTGGGGCCAGGCAGGCTTTCGTGGACACGCTGCCTTCCTCTCTGGCCAGAGAATGAGGACAAACTCCTAGCATCCACGTGTGCCTACCCAACGTTCATCTTCTGGGACTGTCCCACGGCTGTGGGTGTCACCTAAATACAGAGGCATACGTTGAGGTTATTTTGATCATCATCATCCTCCTCATTTGTCACCATCCCTGGAGGTCTTTAAGAAAAGTCTGGACGTGGCACTTAGTGCCATGGTCTAGTTGACACGGTGGTGTTAGGGCAAAGGTTGGACTTGATGATCCCAGAGGTCTCTTCCAGCCAAACCGATTCTGTGATTAGTCTATCAAGAGAAATCGGGTAAAGTGTCACTGCATCAAGTGTGGAGTCGTGTATTTGGGGGCTGGAAAGAGAAAGTCTTCTTCACCCTGGCTGCTCCTCACCTACCGATGACCGGGAGGGAGGAGAGGGGGTCTGGCTGATCACAGCAAGAGCAGAAACCTCCGGCGAAGCTAACACGGCACTGATGAATCCTGCGGGATTTCCAGCAGGGAGGAGGGGGCAGCACTGACGCCTTTGTGCAAGGTGCCAGCAAAGCCTCCTCCAGAAGCTTGATGTCTAATCAGGTAAGATTAATTCAGGCCAGGGCAGGTGTGGAGAAAGGTTGTGACTGGGAAGCGGAGATGTCTGCGAGATGGGGCTGGGGGGGCTTGGTTTGTTTGGCTTTGCAAAATCAAGGCTGAGAGGAGATGTGATCTGTCCTCTGTAAATACACCGGTGGGTAAACGCCACAGACAAAGAACAGCTATACAAGCTGCTTAAGACAGTGCTGCCATAAAAACAAATGGATATAAGCTTGTCCTAAATAAATTCAGGCTGGAAGTTAGGCTTATAACCATCAAAGTTGGAGGGAGGGAACCACCCAACTAGCTTTGAGGTGGAACTTGATAACTTTCGGAAGAGATTAATACCCTGTGGTTGCCTGCAGCAGCAGGAGCCCTGCTCTGCGGGGACCCTCGTGTCCCTGTTCCTTACCTTTGCCTGGCTCTGCCTCTTCACGAATGCTTTCGGGCAGAGCTCTTGTGTTTTCCCACGGCTGGAGAGCAAAGTCCTGGTGGTGAGGTGTCTGGCCCTGCTGTGCTTGAGCAAAGGTGCCACGAGCAGAGCGAGACGATGCTGGGGGACCCCAGGGCCTTGCAGCAGTCCAAGTGCATCCTCAGACTAAGTCATGTGAAGGTCGCACCTCGGTGTCCTGAGCTGTGAAGTAACCCCATCAGGCACAGCATAGGAGCGCTGAGAGGTTGCTTGGTCCGTGTTTGCCCTATTTGTTATCTACAAGTGTTATCGGTTTTGATTTGGGCACTCGCCCGTCCCCCTGAGTCCCAGCTGCCCACGATCTCTGCGGGGCAGAGCTAGCATGGCTCAGCATCCCGTGCTGCACACCTCCTGTGCCCCATGGAAAGGGTCTGTGCCAGGGGATGCTCCTTTCTTCTTTTCAGGGTTGTGGTGGTGCTCAGCACAGCGAACTCAGATTCAATAGAGTATCTGTACAATTGTTGTTAAAAACAGGGCTGGAAATTGCCCTTCTGGAGGGTGCAGGGACTTTCAGAAGCTTCTGCCCTGGACCTATGCAAAAACAGTAACCAAAGCAGAGGGGGGAGAGAGAGAGAGAAGATCTGTGGCTGTGTGAGCTGCTGTATCACATCCTCGCTCACTGACTTTATTCTGATACGCAAACAACCCTTAATTAATTCCTCTGGCAAACTTTCCTGATGGGAGAGATGCAGTAACAAGTCCCTGTGTGAGTGGTTGGCATTTAGTGTTTGATTTATAATGTTTGATAATCTAACATTTCTCCAGAAGATCCTTGACACTCCTCCACGTTCGTGTCTTTCGCAGGATGCTGGAGTATTCCCTGGACCTGCAGAACGTCAGCTTCTCAGCAGTCCGCACCGTCCGCGTCCTGCGGCCGCTCAGGGCCATTAACAGAGTCCCCAGTAAGTCAGATCCTTATTCCTCCCAGTTGCTGCAAGTTCTCTGTATCTGTGCCCCGAAGGTGGAAGAGCAAACACAGATGCTTCCCATCTTACACTGCAGCTCAAACGTTCACCCAAGCCCGGTTGTGCTAAGTCCTACCACCACTCTCTGGTTTCCAGTGCCTGTAACTCTCCTACTTTAAATAATATTCCTTTTGACACCTGTGGCATCAGAGATGAGCCACCAGTCAGTATGATATCCAGGACTGTCTTCAGACACCCTCCTTTCTCATCTGAAGAGGGTCTGAAGAGTCTGCTAAGGTGAAGGGATGCAGGTGATAGGGATTGACTGAGCCGACAGCCTTTGCCAGGCAGCACAGGCAGGGGGGTCTGAGCTGCGTCGCTCCTACCCTCCCTCTGCTACCCCATCCTTTCCTGGCAAAATTGGGGTGAAGCAATCTTGTCGCACCTGGAGAACCCCCCCCAGGAGGTGCTGAGGAGCCTCCTCTTGGAGCGTCTCTTGCTGTGCTCCCCAGAGCTAGTCCGTACAGCCCAAAAGCCCAACATCTCCAAAGCAAGCCTGGGTGGGATGGGAGGTGTCTCTTCAGTCCTGGTTTATCAGGTCATGCATGAGGCTCTCAGACCTGCCTTGAACAGCAGCGGGTAGCATTGCCTGCTCCTGCACAGCAGCTCAGCCCCGTGCTCGGAGAGGTGTTGGCCATGGCAAACCCAACCAAACTGCCCAGGGAACCGTTCCTGCTGCGCTGGGCAAAGCCTAGAGCGCTGTGAGAGGTGCTGAGCTCCAGCCCTCTGGCACACTGTATGGACCGGGTGCGTTAAGCCTAAATACAATCCTGCATATCAAATCCAGCAGTGTTTTAGCTAAATTAAATCCAAGTCTGAACTCCCCTATCTGAGCTAGCCCAATGCCTTGATGAGAACTAATCAGCTTCAGTTCTGTCTGCCGATGCTGGAGGTGCCTGCGCTCTATTTATTTTTCTGGTCCTGACTTTGAACTTAATCTGGCTTTGCTGCTGCTGCTGTTTCAATCATTACAGTAGCTTCAGAATCCTGTTTGCAATGTTTTTTTTTATCCCCACTGCTGAACTGATGGCTGGCTGAATTTATCCACCACTGTCTAACTGGGGATGTAATTCACTTAATGCATTTTGAAATCCCAGGTAATTTATCTTGGCTTCTCTGCAACACAGTTACTATGGGATAGAAATGTAAGGTGGGAAAAGAAAAAAGTGAGTTTTGTATGATGATAAATGCGGTAACCACAGAAAGTCATTTCAGTTAATTAGGAGTTGATGCAAGATAGTTGTTCCCCAGTAGAGGAGTAGAAGAAAACCCTGATGGAGGAGGTGACAGCATCAAGAAGAGACAAAAAAGCCTTCTTGAAGTATCAAAGTAAAGGGTGCAACAGTAAAGCTTTCTTTAAATGAAAATCAATATAAGCGAGTGAGAGAATGTAGAAGATGGGGAAAGAAGGAGAGCGAGAGAGGAGCAGAATATTACAGAGACGTCAGATGAAATCAATTTTTTTGTGTGTAAATGTCAAGTTGAAGTCACCATCAATTTGTCTTTGTTACAGAACTGGCTGTTCCTGAACTTGTAAGAATTAACTGCCAGAGAGAGTCCTGTATTTTAAGGAAGAGAGGGGATTTAGGGTAGATGAGGGGAATTAGGGAGGGAAGAGAATTTTAATATATACTGAGTGGGGAAATAAGTACGACAGCAAGGGAGAACATCAGAGTTTGGTCTCAGAGAAGAAGGGAGACACATAATTGCTAGAAAACTTTAGGAGAAGAAGGGGATTTGAGATAGAGAGTAGAGGGAGAGGAGCAGGAAAGGTAGGTCGTGTGCCCAGGAGCAGGGCATGGCTGAAGGGGGAATCCCAGGGGCTTTGGGGGGCAACTAGAGGGGACTGGGGAGCTGCGGGTGTTTGCAAGCCATGTGTGGGTGACAAGGATGGTGGTTGGGAAGGCAGTGGCTGTCAGTGGAAGGAAAAGTATGGATGGAAAGGAAAAGGTCAGGAGGACATCGCTGGAATAAGAAAATTCAGCGTGGACTTTTCCTCTTCGCCTCAGGTATGCGCATCTTGGTGACGCTTCTTTTGGACACGCTGCCCATGCTGGGGAACGTCCTTCTCCTCTGCTTCTTCGTCTTCTTCATCTTCGGCATCGTGGGAGTCCAGCTGTGGGCAGGTTTGCTCAGGAACCGCTGCTTCCTCCCCGAGAACTTCAGCATGTGAGTCTGTGCGGGCAGCAGAAGTGTCCCCCCAGCTCAGGGGAGTCTGTCCCTCTAGGAGACATGGATATCCTCCGTTAATAAAGCCCTGGTCTTCTCTAAACGCTCCATGCTCCCGTATGCCACCACAACTCCTGCTGAGGCACACACGACCGGAGCGGAGTGAGCTGTGACAATTTGCCATTCGGGTCCTGCAGGGCTGTCCTTAACCCTCAGCCAGCACTTGGGGACCTCTCTGATTGATAAGAGCCTCAAAAAAAAACCCACCTTGAGAATAAGAGTTCAGGCTTTCTAAATGCAGCGTATCATTAACGTCTGACCTTTTCTGCATTTGTTGAGACGCTGAGCTCTGAATCCCGTTCAGCAGCTGGTAGTGTTTATTGGTATGGCATTTGTAGTCCCACCTAAACCCAGGGAAAGCTGATGGAGCTACCACGTCTTTTGTGATGCTAGATCCTTTTCAGTCGCAGAGCAAGAGATAGTCTCTGTCCCAAGGTGTTGATTTTCACAGATCCCTGGATTTTTAAGGCTAAGAGGACTATTGTGACCAAATGGGGTTTTGTAGCCCCCAGTTTCCTGGCCAGCCAGCTTGCCAGATGTAGGAATGTTTGAACAGTGGTTGAAATATCTGGTAGCTGTCAGCCTCTTTCAGACCAGGATTTCCATACCTATTCTCCTACCTACCTGCTTTTTTCCACCACCTCCCTCCCTTCGAATACTAGGAGAAGGGCAGGTGACTGCAAGCCCTTGATGGCTACTCTGCTGAGCTCCAGCACCCCTGTCACCTTTCAGTGCATCACTTTCAAATGTTGACTCCACGGAGCTGATCTGGCGAGATCCACACCTGGATGGAAAAGTCCTGCAAGCCCAAAGCCTTTTTCTTGCACACAGCAGGACCATGACGATGCTGCTGTGGCTAGGCTGGCTCTCGGGTCTGGAGCTGGCACCACGCACCTTTTATCGTCTCCCACACATCTCCTAACCAACTGCCACCCCTCTTGTAGGTCATGCCCTCAAAAGGCAGTTGGCAGAGTCATTACCAGGGCATGTCCTTGTTAAGTAAACGGCAGCAGAGCAGGGGGACTGCTTCACCACTGAGTAAATCCAACAGAGCCACAGGTTTGGGTGCTGTTTCATCGAGCCAGAGTTCCATGGGTTTAGATAAGCTTTGAAGGGTATTAAAGGCAATTCTGCAGGAATTAACTGGGCTGAACTAGGCTTAAAAATATCTTTGCAAGCTTAAGTGGGAGCCCTGGCAGCATTAAGGAGATAGCTGTGTGCAGAGCAACAAGCCCGTTTCTGGCTGGCCATGGGTTGTTTCCTCTCCCTGAAGAGTGTTTTTGCCTGGTTTGCTGTGGTAAGCCCACCCTCGGAGGGAATTTAGAGCTTATCTACAGGCTGAACAGGCACTGTGAAATGCAGGTGAAGGCTCTGTCTCTGGTTTCTAGGAAGCTTGGGAGGTCCTTGTATGTAGAGTCTCTGCAAGCAATGCTCAGCATCTTCAGGAGGACGGGAGGTACAGAAGCTTAAACTGGCTGATTTCCGTCTTGCTGCAGCAAAGACATTTCAGAGAAGCCCTGCTGGGCTGAATCCTGCTATTAGTCCCCTAAAGTCAAAGCCAGAGCACTTCCAGATGTAATGACTCTTAATAATGTCATCAGAGGGGTTGTTGAGTGGCCGAGTGCACTGCCTCGGTTTCCCAAAACCCAGTTAGGGACATCACCTCACCCAGTGGGGCTGCAGAAAATCCAGGGGGATCCCTTTTCAAAAAAAGCTTTAAGATCCAGAATAACAGATGTCAGACTTTGCTGTTACAGTTCTTACCTTGCCAGATTGCCTGCAATCGGTGTGCAAACCCCGTCCCTGTCCGGACTCTTTCAGCCCCTACACGGTGGATTTGGAGCGATACTACCAGACAGAGAACGAAGACGAGAACCCTTTCATCTGCTCCCAGCCCCGAGAAAATGGGATGCGCTACTGCCGGAGTATCCCAACGCGGAGGGAAGAGGGTCTCGAGTGCACCCTGGATTATTACTCCTACAACGACACCACCAATACATCCTGTGTCAATTGGAACCAGTATTACACCAACTGCTCCGCCGGGGAGCACAACCCCTTCAAGGGAGCCATCAACTTTGATAACATTGGCTACGCCTGGATCGCCATATTTCAGGTGAGCCCTGACGGCAAATTGCTGAAAGGTGGACAAACAGCCGGTCGTGCCCCCCAACGTGTTTCCAAGGGCTGCCTAATCGCACTCCTAGGGGGGCTATTTTGCACCAGCAAGCACTTATATAGTAGCACGTGGGTGCTCCAAATGGCAGGGATACAATTCGATGCCTGCTTTGAAGATGCATCCATCTCATGTGCATGGACAAACCCCCAGTCTCCAAACCCCGTGTGTCGGCAGTAAGGCCGCCCTGGTGTGGAGCCAAGCCTAGAGACTGCTCTTTCCTCTGCAAAATGCAGTAGTGGGCCTTAAGTCCAGCTGGAAAAGAAGGGCTGGATTCAGCCTGGGCAGCTGGTATTGTGGCTGTTGGCATTGATAGGAGCAGGATTTGGCTCCTCGGTATCCCCTACACCACCAAGACCATCTATGGGGTGTCAGAAATGACCCAGCCAGGAGAAATGTTGTTTGTGCACTTGGTGTTGTAACTGAGCCTTGACGGGTTCGTTTTGCCTCCCTATCTGCCCTAGGTCATCACACTGGAAGGCTGGGTGGACATCATGTACTTTGTCATGGATGCACACTCCTTCTACAACTTCATCTACTTCATCCTCCTGATCATTGTGAGTGGCTTAGGGGAACACGGGGTCCTCCTGGCATTTGGAGAGAGCAGAGTGCAGTGACCCAGAGGAACAGGGCAGCTAATACAGTGAATGTAAAAGCTGAGGTAGAAACCAGGCTGCTGGAAGACAGGCAGCTTCGGGAAGGCATTGTATTGCAGCTGCCTTTTGCTGCAAACATGAAGGAAGGAAGGAAAGACGTGCTTAAGCTATGGTAGATACACTTCTGATGCTGCTGCTTCTACTACTTCTCTCCTTTTGCTCCAAGGTTCTCTCTCTTAGTTGCCACCTTGAATTTAGATTTAAAAGTAGGCAAATTTCCTTCGCTCAGGTTTTGAGCTCTGGAAGAGGAGGAGGCTGCCCAGAATTTCCCCCATATCGAAGAACCCAGCTGGCTGGGTCCTTGGTGCAGAGGGAACATTTCAGGAAAACAATCCCAAACTTCAGAGAGCACATTAAGAAAGGAGGGAAGAGATTACCACCCGCAGCCTACCCACGCTTCGCAGCATCACCCGAGACCACCCACAAAGGAGCCAGCAAAGAGTTTCTGTGGGGTGGGCTCCATGATGGGCTTCATCTGTGAAAGCAGAATTGTCTACCATGACTGGCTGAACTCGTTGTCTAGACTCCCTTTATCGTCAAGGGAGAAAAATAGGTGCTGTAAGGAGGTGATTCATCTCCTCCAAAGGTAGACATCCAAAATAAATTAGATGCATTGCAGACTTGATGTGCCTATTTCTCTCTTGACTCTAAAGGATCATTAGGTGCCTCACTCAGATGTAGCTGAGATAAGTGAGATGAGTCCCTTTCTTGCTGTCTAATTGGACTAAGTCCAGCCAAATAGCTGCACATTGTCCATTAGGCCATTGTGGGGATTTCTACTCCTCATCAAACCAGGACTCAAAGCCTGATGAGAAGGTAGGAGGTCGTTTAGTCCATGATGTTTTTTTCTAGTTCACCTATTAGCTTCCCCAAAAAAGAAACAATCTCTTGCTCTCAGCATCCCTGAAATGACGGAGAGGAAGGGCAAGCAGTACTTTTCCAGATGCCGTGCGAGTAACGTTAGCAGTGTGTGATAGCCCGTTAGCACGTCAGTAATTCTCTGTGATCCAAGCTGGGCTCTGCAGAAGGCAGAACCTCATGAAACCCTGGTTGGAAATAAAATCTCCAAGCTGTGGGTACAGACTGCTGATGCCCTTGCGTAACAGGCACCCGCAAATCCCATTAGCAGGGGAAAGGGATCTGCTCGCAAGCTGCCCACACGCTGCCAGAAAAAACGCTCCTATCAGGAAGGCTCAGTGCATTCATCGTAATGCCACTAATTGTGATAATTACAACCGCTGTCTGCGGAGAGAGAAAAACACCATCTTGAAAGAGCAAAAGCTTTTTGTCAAAATAATCTTCTCTCGTCTTTGATCTCTGACGTCCTCCATGGAGCGCTGGCGTGGGAGTCCCCGGGGTGGGGGCTTGAGGGCTGAGTCAGCCCCTCCGCGGTCCCAGCTGGTGGTCCCCGCTGGGTGATGGAGGGGATGGGGCTGACTGGGGTTTATCCCTGTTCCTTGCACTGGGGCGTGGGGTGAGGCAGGGCTATGGGGTGGGCATGGCTGCCCCGAGGTGGCTGATGGCTCCTGTCCCCTTAGGTGGGCTCCTTCTTCATGATCAACCTCTGCCTGGTGGTGATAGCAACGCAGTTCTCCGAGACGAAGCAGCGCGAGAGCCAGCTGATGAAGGAGCAGCGGGTGCGCTACCTGTCCAACGCCAGCACTCTTGCCAGCTTTTCGGAGCCAGGCAGCTGCTACGACGAACTCCTCAAGTACCTGGTTTACATTGCCCGTAAAGGCAGCAAGCAGCTTGTGGAGGTCTACCGG